ACAACTGAGCCACCCAGGGGCCGACCTTCCTTCCTTCCTTCCTTCCTTCCTTCCTTCCTTCCTTCCTTCCCTCCTTCCTTCCCTCCTTCCTTCCCTTCTCTCTCCCTTCCTCCCTCCCTTTCTTTCTTTCTCTTTCCTTCCTTTCTCTTTTCTTTCTTTTCCTTTCTTTCTTTCTTTCTTTTTCTTTCTTTCTTTCTTTCTTTCTTTCTTTCTTTCTTTCTTTCTTTCTTTCTTCCCTTTCTTCCTTCCCTTTCTTCCTTCCTTGCTTCCTTGCTTCCTCCCTCCCTCCTTTCTTTCTCCTGCCTTCCTTCCTTCCCCCCTCCATTCCTTCCCTCCTTCCTCTCTTTTTCTTCCTTTCTTTTCCTTCCTCCCTCCCTCCTTCCTTCCTTTTCTTTTTTTAAAGATGTATGTATTTATTTGAGACAGAAAGCGTGCAGGCACATGCAGGAGAGGGAGGGAAGGGCAGAAGAGGAGAAACTCAAGCAGACTCCCTGCTTCAATGGCCTGCTGAATCTCACCACCCATGAGATCAGGCAGGACCTGAGCCAAAACCTAGAGCCACTTTGCTTAACTTACTGAGCCACCTAGATGCCCTGCTTTTCCTCGTTTCTTAAAGTAACCGTTAAGCTCTCGACTCTATGCATCCTTATCTTTTTCACTAATTGTTTTCACATCTTCGTTACTGTTGTCATTTTGGCTACTACAGGTGAGACCATCGGTCCTAGTTTTTGTGGATCTTCCAAGAGCCAGAGAATCCCTGCACACAGAGAAATGAGACATTGATGATATGATTCCTGCCCTAAAGAAGCTTCTAAAATTAGTTCAGGAAACAGAACACATATACATTAATAGGGAAATGTCAGTGCAAATAAATGCTTTGGGAGCTCAGAAGCAATTGGGGACTTTAGCCAGGAAGTCATTCCTTTAATCAATTCATTCACCTGCTATGTGCCAGGCACTGTGTTGAGTTATGGAAGATGATTTTTGATATCTGTATAGAGTGATACTTGAACAGGCTTCCAAGAGTGGATAGGATCTATGCAGCTAGAAGAAAAGTAAGAATTCTGTCCTGAGCAAAAAGAAGAATGTGCAGAAATACAAGATGGGAAAAATACAAAGTGTGAAAATAGACCAGCTTAGCTTATGCAGAAGATTTGTGTGACATCAAAAAAGATCTGCATATATATGGCATGAAAAGATGTTCTAGATATGCTAAATGGAAAAAAGGAAATTGTGATTTTTTAAAAATATTTTATTTATTTATTTGACAGAGATCACAAGTAGGCAGAGAGGCAGGCAGAGAGAGAGGAGGAAGCAGGCTCCCCGCTGAGCAGAGAGCCCGATGCGGGGCTTGATCCAAGGACCCCGAGATCATGACCTGAGCCGAAGGCAGAGGCTTTAACCCACTGGGCCACCCAGGTGCCCCTGTAGTGAAGTATTCTTAACATAATTTCATTTGTCGCAAATATATGTTAGTGTATGTGACTAAAAAAAGAAGAAGTATACACAAAACTAGGAGCAATCACTGGGGGTTAAAATGGCAAAAGGCACTCATTATGAAGTTCCATAGTTTAAAAAATTTCCCCAGCTTGCATGTATTACATGCATGATGAGAAGGGGACAAAAGGGCAATGAAAAGAAAATAATAAATATTTCAAATAAATAAGCTACAGAGTTTGGACCTAATTTGGTAAGCAACAATGAGCCACATGTAAACACTGAATTTGGGGAAGCTTTAGGGGCTTTTGAGAATGCTTTGTAAATATCTCAATAGTCCTTGCTAGCCCTTTGCAAATCTCTCCTGAAGTAGCATCTTCTCCAAGCTTCCCCAGTGGTCTGCTAGGTTCTCCTGCAGCCCCTGAGCACCCTCACCCCTACCCCCTGCTCCCCACTCCCATGCAGAGGAATACTCTTCTTTTTACTGGATGGTTCAACAACCATTCATAACAGAGGTAATGACAACGGACTTTACTTACATATTTACTTACTTATTACTATTTTTAAAGATTTTATTTATTTATTTATTTATTGAGAGACCCTTGAGAGATCATGACCAAAGCAGAAATCAAGAGTCTGATGCTTAACAACACTTAACCCAGACACCCAAGAAATCCATTTTCTTTCCTCATTCTTTAGATAGCTTTGCAGTAGAACCTTAGAAGAACAAGGAGGAAGGATGGCAGGGAAGAGAATGATGAAGAAAGGAGGTTTCTCTTCAAACGGACCTTCCTACTTCAGTAGATCTTCCCTCCCACAGGAGCAGTCTGGGAGGCTGATAGTCTGTGGCTCACTTTAATTCAAATCTGTAAAACCAGATTGGCTAATTTAGCTGAGTCAGCCAAGTAGAGAGAGGTTGAGAATGGGACTGTGGGTTCCAAACCAGAATCCCCAGCCCCTAAAGCGCTTGTCCCTAGGGAGAGAGAGTAGTTTTCCCCACTGTGAAAATAACTGTGTACACAATTTTAATAGTAATCATTCTAAAAATATATACACTTTTTTTTTAAGATTTTATTTAATTATTTCTTTGACAGAGAGAGCACAAGCAGGCGAGTAGCAAGTGGAGCGAGAGGGAGAAGCAGGCTCCTTGCTGACCAAGAAGCCTGATGCAGGGGGCTGATCCTAGGCCTCTGGGATCATGACTGGAGCTGAAGGCAGTCACCCAACCAAATGAGCCACCCAGGCGCCCCTATATACTACTTTAAAATGTTGATATATCATGAATATCTTTCCATGCCAACAATATTCATCTGTAGTACTAGTTCTCAGAGTGGAATCTGGGGACTCTAGGCGTCCCAAAACCTTTTCAGGGGGTTCATGAGTTCCAAACTCTTTTTATTTAAATTCTAACACATTCTTTGCCTTTTTCATTCTCCTGTCACAAGTTTAGAGTAGTTTCCTAGCAGCTACATAATACACAATATTGCAACAGTATAAATGCAGGAGCAGATATGAAAATCCCATAAAAGCCTTCTATTAATTTCGACATTAAAGAGAATAGCGCAAATGTAAAATAATGCCATTTTTCTTTTTGGGGGAATATGTACTTATTTTTCATAAAATGTCATTCATGTTCCAATACAATAGAATCTATTATTTTTAAGTGAAACAATGAATACATATTTTTAAATTTCTCTTTTTAAAAAAATTTATTTAAGAGAGAGAGCAGGCATGCACGGGGGTGGAGGGAGGGGTAGAGGAGGAAGAGTAGGGAGAGGGAAAGAATCTCACACAGAGCCGGGCCTCCGTGCTGAGCATGGAGCCCGATGTGGGGCTTGATCTTACCACCCTGAGATCATGACCTGAGCTGACACAAAGACTGGGGAGACTTTGGGGACTGAGCCACCCAGGTGCCACATTAAATTTCTCAGTTTTAACATAAAGAGTTTTGATAGACATTAATATACATAAAAGTACTTCTCTGGTGTCCTCAGTACTTTTCAAGAATGTAAAGGGGTCCTGAGACCAAAAATGGGAGAATCTTGGTTTTAATAGCTGATTTAGTTCATTGCACTGGAGTATCATAATTCATTTAATTAGTAAGGAATGCCAAAGAATAAGATCCTTAAAGTTAAATTTGTGTACACTCTTAATTATTTCTTTAAGATAATTTTCAGGGATGATTTTTAACATGCATATTTATTTACTTATTGTACAAAAATGGACTAATATCATTAATGTAATCCACACCCTCAGCCAATCAACACTTTCCATTCTTTCTGTTTTCTTCCAAGCAACAAAGGGGAATGTAAGGCATTTAAGACTACTAGTTTAAGACTTTATCACTAGGTCACCATTTCCAAGGGGAAAGTCCCTTGTGGATCATCCCGCCCAATGGGCCGCAACTTAATCACCCTGAAATCTTTTAAAAACACAAGTTCCCAGGGTTGTGGGAAAGAACTGAGCATACTTCTCAAATGCCTTCATCTACGTGTTTATTGCCAGTGGAATCAATTCATTTTTCTGAAGTACAGGCTGAAATGAGCGCTGCGTCATACATACTCCTGGAGCTCTCTCCTTCTGAGGACTGGGGAGGTGCGCTGTAGCCATTTGTGTAGCCGTCTGTCCATCCTCTCCGAGGACTAGTGGCCTCCTTCTTGAACAGCACCCACGGCACCTCCTCTCTTCTATTTCCAGTACCAAGCACAGTGTCAGGCACTCACTGAGGCCGCAGCAAATTTAGTGAACTGCTGAACGAAGGCTCTACCCTAGCAGATCCTTTTTCAGTAGGTCTGAGATAGAGCCCAGAAAGGTGCACTTGTAATAAATCCCGCCTCCGACGTCAGATAACATGAGTGCAAGGGTAACGGGCTCCACCCGTGAATCCTGCTCCACCACTAGGTGCCTGGGTCTTGAATCCCCATAACCGGACAGATACAGTCTGTAGGGGTTGCCGTGGGAAGTAGCTGAGCTAATGCACGTCCCGTTCTCGGCTCCGGGAAGAACACACGCTAAGCGCAGAGAATGGGCCTCACGGAAGGTAAGCCACAGCCCAGGTAGGCGACAAAGAAACCTGAGATGGGGGCAGGGAAGAAGGCGGAGGCAAGACGCGCGTGGGTCCCCGGGTGGGTGTCCCTGGGGAGCGGGAGTGCGGCGCTGTTGGGCGTGACCGGAGGGCGGGGCGGGGCCTTCGTGCGTGAGCGGGGCCGGGCCGCAGCTGGGGGCGGGGCCTTCGTGCGGGCCGCGCCGGGGACCGGGCTGGGGGCGGGGCGGGGGCGGGGCGGGGCGGGGCGGGCCCGCAGGCAGGGAGGGGCGGGCCCAGGGCGTGCGCTGACAGGAGCGCCCCGGGAGTGAGAGACGCCTCCTGGCGGGAGCTGGCGGCAGTGGGGAACCGAAGGCGGGCGGAGGGACCGGGGAACTAGGGGGAGGGCGGCGGCGGGCCTGTCTCTTTAAGGTGCCCGAGGCTCGCGGGCGCTGCGCTGAGGGACGGCTCGGGGGCGCGGCCTGCCTCCCTCGCCCAGCCCCGCGGCTCGCCCAGGGCTCGGCCGACCTGCGGGGGAACAAGGGCCAGGCAGTCTCGCGGCGCCGCGGCGCACGGTGAGCGGGAGCAGGCGGGGCAGGGTCTGCGGCCGGGGAGGGTCCGGACCGAGAGCGCCGGCCTCTGGAGGCCGAGGCCGCGGCGGGCTGTCGGGGCCGGGAGAAGCGGAGCAGCTCCCGCGCGGCCTGGGCCCCGCCTACGCGCAGGACAAAGTGGGGGTGCCGCCCGGTGGGTGCTGGGCGCGGGCCCGCAGGCCGGCGGCACCTCTAAGGCCCCCTCCCCTGCCTTGCTGCTCAGCGGCGCGTCGGTGAATTGGGGGTGAAGAGCCGCTTTGGCCTCTGCCTCCTCACCGGCAGCCAGGGGCTCCGTGCAGCGGCACAAAGGCTGCTGTCAGTGCCGTCCCCCTTGGGGACCACACACAGTTCGCCCGAGCCCGAGAAGCGGGTCCCGACGTAGGAAAACAGTTCTGGTGCGGTACCGTTCCTCACTCCATAGAAGAAAAAAGGGAGGCCCTTTAAATAATTCTGTTACCTGCTTTGTACATGCCATTATTTACTTGAATACTTTTTCCAGTGAGATTTTGGGAGTAGTATGAAGACAACCATAAAAGATGAAAAAAAAAATCCCATTTTTAGTGAGCGTGGGATGAAAACTACTTCTCGATAAAAATCACTTTTTTTAAATACCTTCTTTGGCCTCCACGAATATGCACCAGAAATCATCCGACTTAGTATTAAATACATTAGTCAATGCTGTTAAATAAATTCGAAAATTGGGCTACTAACGGTCTTTGGAAATACTTTGTGGGCCTCAGTATCAATCACCAGGGCTTTCTCTTTCTAAATTGAGTCATACTGGGTACAAAGCCCTTTATTCTTCCCACTTTCTTATTGTTTTGCTTTATTGTGCTTTATAATACTTAGAATAAAAGTTTACAGTAATCATAAAGGGCCTATAAACTCACCTTTTATATATCCAACATCAGTAGTCATTTATTTTACTTGATTCTATCTTGGGGAGGGTTTGTTTTAATGCCAAGAAGTTATTTCTTTTTAAAAAGCTTAATAACCATGTTGGTTGTTTAACTACTATCAGGATTTTTTCAGGTCTTTTTTCCTTCTTTTTTTCAAAGTGTACTATCTTCTTAATAACGTTGAAGAATCTATGGTACCTATGGTATAGAATTCAAAGAATATCTTCACATTTTAATAAATTACTCGAGTTCTTAATGCAATTAATAATTTACTATCCCCTTTGTTATTTGCTGGGTTATTTAAGGAATGACTGCCAACTGCTTTCTCTGAGCTACTTCATTCTGGTTAATTATGTTAAGAGATAAAATGAAATAGTCATAAATAATCATTAGAATAATTTGTGTTTTAAAAATTTGTTGAATGTTTTAAATTATGATACAGTATTAATAGTTTTAAATATGAGTTTAAAGTTGCAAAATGGGCCTAAAACTAAAGGTGAGTAGTAGTGGTGCAATATTAAAAGTAGTTATTTGCCTCAGTAACCTGGTGGTTTTTATATACATATTTATATTTATACATAAATATAAATATGTATATATAAATATATATATATATATGTATATATATATATATATATATGTATATTTGGAGTTGGCTGACAAGACCTTACCATACAAAAATTGTAGTTTGTTTTGAATGTTTCATCATTCATTGAGAATGTCTTTTAAATGATCACTCAAAAGTCTTTTAACACAAAGAATGAGTCTTGGTTTGTTTTGCTTTTCCTTTCTGTATCTGTTCTTAACCTAGCCCTTGCCTTTGAATTAAAGTTTTTTTTTTTCTTCTTGTTTGTTTGTTTAGCTTCCTGGGAGTTGATTGTCCCTGAAGAAACATGAAGACACACTGTGTTGTTACGCTTACTCTAGCCATCCTGGTGTTCCTGACATGGGTCCCTGTGTCACTGAGTTGTAACAAAGCACTCTGTGCTAGTGATGTGAGCAAATGCCTCATTCAGGTAGGATTAAGCATACTTTTTATTAATATTAAAATGTAGAAGAGATAAAGAGTGCATATATATGGATATAGTGTGTGTGTGTGTGTGTGTGTGTGTGTGTGTGTGTGCGCGCGTGCGCACGCAGACATACAGTGTAAGGCCCGAGTATTAAGTCAGCTTCTGAGGTACTGAATCATGACACACCGGTCTGGGTTTTTACCTCCATAGTTTTCTTGCATATTCCCAAGGTCAGATTCAAGAAGTTTGGTGCTGAAAATAATATCCAGCTTCATAAATGTGCCATTACAAAGTGATGAGCGCTCCATTCAGATAAAGGGTTTCCTTGTATTATCTAGTTTATATACCAAAGAAGCTCAGTTACTGTATTTAGGGAAAAATTTAGCTAGTCAAATAATAATCGTTCGCTTATATAAAGTAATAGTGTCTGTTCTGTGCAACAGGTTATCCCAAATGTAGCAACTTAATGCCATAAACATTTATGTCATGCAGTGTCTGGGGGTTGGGAGTCTAGGAGCAGTTGAAATGGGTAGTTCCCCCGCATGGTCTTTCACAAGGTTGCAGGCACATTGTTGGCTGAGATTGTGGAGAACCTGCTTTCAAAATACTTGACAGTATCTCTCTTTCAGTCATCTGGATGAGCCTCATGATGTAGCTACCACTCTTATTTTTCTGGAGAAAAAAGTGAGGTTAAGTAATTTGGTTAGGTTCCTATAGCTAGTAAGTGACTGTAGAACACGGTCTTTAACTCCATTAAAGGAGCCTGTGGCCTTCCCACTAACCATACTGGTTATTACTCCATAAAGTTGTGTTAATTAGTGGTGAACTTCACATCTTATGTAGTCGTTCTCTTTTTTCTCATCCTGTAAGACCATCAGCAGTCTTGTGCCTTTGTGTGTTGTCTGTATTTATTAGCCTCCCTTTTAATTTTTGGCTGTTGGCTAAGAAACCTGGTAACCACACATATTAGAATTCTGTGTAAGGTATGAGTCAACTCTAATTCCCACATGGAGCAGTTGTATGTATGTACTATAAGCGATAATGATTTCTATAGATTTGAGGCATTTTGTATTTATTTGGAACATTTTGGTCCTTCTCATTAATAGTTGAGATCCTAGGAAGCCTGGCCTTTATCTGAGTGTAGTTTGCCATCATCTCATACTCTCTTTACCCTTGACTTTGCCTATCAAACCAAAACATTGAAATAGACAAGCATGTTGGTTGATTTGTTTTTATTTTTTTCACCGTGGACGTTTTTTAGGCATAAATAGAAGGGAGGATTATAATGAAGGGCAATCCCGGGAGTCATTAACTCAGGCCTACCTATGTTTCATCTCTGTTCCTCTACACTGCCCACCCCAACTATGTCTTAATTTTAGGCAAATTCCTGATACTGTTTTATCATAATTCTAATATCTACATCTTAAAGATAAGAACTCTAAAACACAGCCATTCACAATTTAAGGGGTGCCTGGCTGTTTCCATTGGAAGACCATGAGACATTTGATCTCAGGGTTGTGAGTTCGAGTCCCACACTGGGGCTTTTTAGTAGCGATTACTAAAAAAACAAAAAAACAAAAAACAATCTTAAAAAGAATTTTCAGTAATCTTAAATATCCTCTAATTTTATACCTGGAAATCTTGTTATGGCAAGTCTGCTTAGGCTCATGCTGGCAGAAAATTCTGTAGTCAGTACATGAAGTCCAGCTTTGTGCTCTGGTCTGATGGGGAAGCTGTGCCACTTCCCACGTTGCTTCAGTGTAGCTTCATTATTATTTTAAAAAAAAGGTATCACAACAATTGCTACGTTCATGTTCAGGTAGAATTTCACTTAAATCCCACATTATTTTTGACTCCAAATCTATAATTTCCATTAGTTCAAGTAATTAAAAAATTGGATTTTATTAAAATAATTCGCTTGGTAAAGGAGTGTTTTAAAAAGATAGCTTTTGGTTAATATTGGTTAATACCCTCAAAGGTTTTCAGTTTGTTTCTTTTGCTTTTAAATTTAAAAATATGTAGGAGCACCTTGGTGGCTCAGTTGGTTAAACTGAACCTGAAGTCTGCCTTCAGCTCAGGTCATGATCTCAGGGTCCTGGGATTGCGCCCTGCATCCCATTCCCCACTCAGTGGGGAGTCTGCTTGTCCCTCTGCCCCTCCCCCCCAACTTGTGCGCACTCTAACTCAAGTAAATAAATAGAATCTTTTACAATATTAGTTAATTAATTTAAAAAATATGTAATATACAATAGTTCAAAAAGTAAAGACTATTTTGAGTGTAAAATCTGGGAGATTGAGTGAGCTTCACCTGTTAAATGGTGACTTTACTGAATTCATTGGAAAGAAGCTAGGATTTGTTTTCTTTATCATTAATTCAGTGATGCTAACATTTTTTAAGGTTCCTTTTGTTCCTTCAGAGCCAGGAATCATCAAATCTTTTTCTGGAGTGGTAGAGACAATACTTCTGGTGCATAGTGGCAGAGTATTTGAAGCTAAAATTATTGTGGGTTCAAGAATTGGGGATTTTCTTATTCATTTAGTCATAAACACTTATTGGACATTGAAGTAAAATATGATCAGTTCCATCATTTGACTGATTTTGTGGTCTCCAAAACTCCAGCAGATTATTTCACATTCTGACCTTTATTTTCCTTGAATTCCTCTTACTATGGCTATGTAATCATCCCAAAAATCAGTGGGTGAAACCAACGTTGATTTTGCCCATGAATTTGCATTATGCGGGGCCTGGTAAGTAACCTATCTCTGCACCACACAGCACTAGGGCAATCTGAAGGCGGAGGCCTGGAGTTACCTGAAGCAGCACTATTCCCAAGAACTTTCTATAATGATAGAAACAGTCTACATCTGCCCTGTTCCAGTGCAGTAGAAACTAGCCCCATAAGGCTATTGAGCACTTGAAATATGACTTGTGTGATTAAAAAATAGATTTTTAAATTTAATTTGGTTTTAATTAATTGAAATGTAAATAGCTACATGTGACTAGTGGGTATTGTACTGGATCTCACAAATCTGAAGGCTCACTGATAAGTCTAACACCTGGGCTAGACCTCAGCTCTCTCATTCTGTCCGTCTCTCTCTCTCTCTCACTCACTAACTTTCTCAGTCATCTCTCTAGATGACCTCTCTGGTGTGCTGGTTTAAGACTAGCTAGATAACATATATATTGGCTCAGGGCTCCCAAGATTCATGAAAGAGCTAGAGGAATATGTATTGCCTTTTATGGTCTCACCTTAGAGGTTAAATACTACTTGCACCATAGTCATAGGTCCACCTGGATTTAGGTAGAGGAAACATAGGCCCTACTTCTGATGGAGGAGCATAAAAAGAGCGTGTGGCATAAAATGGCATGGACATTTTTGGAAAATACATACACATTTAGTGTAAAATAGATTGGCTGGCTAGGTGATCTCAAAGTTTCCTTCTAGTTTTATGTAGTTGTAAAGAAAGAAACCAACTATTATGTGTTAAATATTCTCCTTTTTAAAAATTAGAGTAAGAAAGGCATTTCTCTTTTTTTAATTGAAGTATAATTGACATACAATGTTACATTAGTTTCAAGTGTACAGTATGTTGATTTGACAATTCTAAACATTACTCAGTGCTCACTATGATTAAGTGTAGTTACCGTGTATTATTTTTGTATGTATACATACATATGTATGTATAAGTGTAGTTAAGTATTATTTTTTTTAAGATTTTATTTTATTTATTTGAGAGAGAGAGAGAGTGCGTGCACATGCACAAGCAGAGAGGAGGGGCAGAGGGAATGGGAGAAGCAGACTCCCCACTGAGTTTGACTCAGGGCTCCATCCCAGGACCCTGGGATCATGACCTGAGCCAAAGGCAGATGCTTAACCAACAGAGCCACCTAGGCACTCCTGTTATTACAGTATTATTGACTATATTCCCTACACAGTATTTTCCATCTCTGTGGCTTACTTATTTTATACCTGGAAGTTTGTAAATATACCTCTTAATCTCCATTATGTATTTTCCCCATCCCTCCTCCCCCACAGCCATTAGTTCATTTTCTATATTTAAGAATGTTTGTCTTATTTTTAATATTCCACATATAAGTGAAATTGTACGGTATTTGTCTTCTCTATTTGACCCTTTTCATATAGCATAATACCTTCTAGGTCTGTCCATGTTATGATAAATGGCAAGATCTCATTCTTTTTTTGGCCGAGTAATACTCCTTCCTGTGTGTGTGTGTATGTTTGTTTTTGTGTATGTGTATGTGTGCATGTATACACTATTCTTTATCCATTCATCTATTTATGGACACTTGGGTTGCTTCCGTATCTTGGCTATTATATGTAATGCTGCAAGAAACATAGCATGTATCTTTTCAAATTAGTGTATTCCTATTGTTTGGGTGTTTGGATTATATGGTATCATATGTATTTCTATTTTTAATTGTTTGAGTTACCTCCATACTGTTTCCTACGGTGGTTGCACTAACTTACATTCCCACCAACAGTGCATGATGGTTCCTTTTTTTCCACATCCTTGCCAACATTTGTTATTCCTTGTCTTTTTGATGTTAGTCTTTCAGACTGGTATGAAGGGATACCTCACTGTGGTTTTGATTTGTAGTTTCCTGATGATTAGTCACGACGAACATCATCTCATATGTCTGTTGGCCATCTGTATGTCTTTGGAAAAATGTCTTTTTGGGTCCTCTGCCCATTTTTAATTTGATTTTTTTTTTTTGGTGTTGAGTTGTATAAGTTCTTTATATTTTGGATACTAACCCTTTGTCAGATATATTATTTGGAAATATCTTTTCCCATTCACTAAGTTCCTTTTTTTTTTTTTTTATGTTTTCTTGCACTGTACAAAAACTTTTTATTTTGGTGTAGTCCCACTAGTTTGCTTTTGTTTCCCTTGCCTCAGGAGAAATATCTAGAAAAATATTGCTAAGACCAATGTCCAAGATGTTATTGCCTGTTTTCTTTTAGGAGTTTATAGCTTCAGGT